GAGTTACTTGATAATCTCTTGATAATCTCATACATCAGGCTGTATGTCAGATTAACTACACATCACAATTAGTTGTAACTTAAAAACCACTGGTTAACTCCTACCAGAGTATATTCTTTATATCCCGATGGGCAAAGCTGATTTCTGATATCAGTCAATCTTTTTCAGATACTAACTGCCTTATACAACAAATACAATCATCCTGAATATTCTCAATGATGCTGGATATAATGGTATTAGATGATGATGGTCCGAATTGATGGAACACAGATTAGTGGACCGCAGTGAGAGTCTATATTCCTTTTTATATGATGTTCCAATTCAGCACTGTCTTGTCCTAGGAGTTGGGTCACCCTGCCATTGCTCTGCTGCTGTCTGCTATCACGTGTGATATTCTTCTGTGAGACAGAGGGAAGAATGCCAGGGAGTGTGCTGCAAAGTTGTGGGATGGTATACCAGTCATAACAGTAACAAGAAGTACATGGATGCTGTGGGAGGTTGGTGTGAAGCTGGAAACAGTGGTATCCATGTGTGAGATGGAATAACTGGAAATTATGCATGAGTTCTGATTGTTTGGATTACTGATCAGTGAGTAATGGGATTATGGCACATTAAATAGTGTTAGAAGTGCAGTTAGCCTACTTGTTTTAAATGTCTAGACATGATGCTACTGTCATCATGCTGTGAGGCAGACTTGATGTACGAGGTATTTCTTTAATGACCATCAGTTTTATTTGTTTGTGCTTTGTTATTTGACCAAATGGGTATCACAGTTTTCCTTTCCCAGGTGATGTCCTTTCACATATAATAATGAGGACCCCAAACTGATTTTTCAGCTTATGAATGCTGAGGTCAATGGTGATATGCACACTGAGATCAATTACTGAACACAGATAGCTAGAAATTGGCTAACTTATAGACAAGATAGAGAGTCGGGATACTGGGTTGGGGGGTGGGAGCATTTTCAGGATGGCACCCTGCAACTATTGCAGTGCCATAAGTATTCACAAAATATATTAGTGACTAGTGAGGGGAGTGAAAGTATTGTCCCCAAACTTGCAGATGACACAAAAATAGATCAATGGTGATGATGGCAGAAGGAGTCTACAGAGGGATATAAACAGGTGAAGTGATTGGTTAAAGACATGACAGATAGAGTATAATATGGAATATGGAAGATTATGCACTTTGACAGGAAGAGTAGACGAGCTGAATATTTATATAGAATTACATAGAATCCCTACAGTGTGGAAACAGGCCCTTCGGCCCAACAAGTCCACACCGACCCTTGGAGCATCCCACCCAGACCCATCCCCTTATAACCTCCCTAAGCTACACATCCCTGAACACTAAGGGCCATTTAGCATGGCCAATCCACCTAGCCTGCACATCTTTGGACTGTGGGAGGAAACCAGAGTACCTGGAGGAAACCCATGCAGACACGGGGAGAATGTGCAAACTCCACACAGACAGTCGCCCGAGGGTGGAATTGAACCTGGGTCCCTGGCGCTGTCAGGCAGCAGTGCTAATCACTGAGCCACCATATATAAAAACACTATAAAAAAATTATTCAAATGGAGAAAGATTACAGAAAGCTGCATCACAGAGGGATTTAGGGATCCTCATGCCTAAATCACAAAAGGTTAGCATATAAATTCAGCAGGTAATTGGAAAGTTACTCTTTACTTTCAAGGGAATGCAGTATAAAAATAGGCAGGTCTTGCTAAAACTATGCAACACATTCATCAGACCACGCTCAGAATTGTGAGAACAGTTTGGACACCTTATCTAAGGGAAGACACACAAGTATTGGAGGCAATCCTGAGAAGGCTCACTAGGCTGATTCTGAGTATAGAGGGATTTTCTTATGATGAGAGGTTGAGTAGGCTGAGTTTGTACTTATTGTAGTTTTGAAGAATGAGAGGTGACCTTACTGGAACATATAAGATTCTTAGGGAGCTTGACATGGTAGATGTGTAGGTGCAGACAGTTTGTTTCCCCTTGTGGGAGAGTCAAGGCCAGTGGGCATGATCTGATAGTCATTTGGTTCTCTATTTATGGACAAAGATGAGGAGGCTAGTAAATCTATTGAATTCTTTACCACAGAGGGCTATAGAGGTTGGGTCGTTAAATATATTGAAAGCCAAGATAGATTTTTAATCAGTGAGGAATTAAGGTTATGGGAAAAAGGCATGATCTTATTGAATGGTGGAGTAGACTCATTACACAAAATAGTCTACTTCTTTTCTTATGTCTTATGGTCTTATTCCACTGTATCAGGAAATAAATTTGTCGTAATTTCTAATATTGCCTGATGCTTCTTTTGTTTTTTTTGTGTCCTCTGTTTCTTTGGTCAAAGTCAACTGGATAGCTCAACAAAAGATTCATTGCTCACATAAACTAACTCTCTTTCCTGCATGCTATCAATGAAATACTTCACAATTACTATGTATGGAGCTTCTCAGAGCAACTGAGGATAATGCTTTCTTGGTGATTTCAAAGCAAATGCAACTTCTGCAAAGATGTATCATAAAACACATTGTAAATTCAATTTACACTAGGTATCCCTGGAAAACCCTCACTCCATTCATAGCACTGTCATGATAGTTGTCCAAGAGAAACACGGCTGAATTTTTTTAATTTTGACCTCTTTAGAAAGGCATACCACAAGTTCCAAAATCTGCATTGCAGTAAGTCCAACAATACTGTGCAAAGGATCTTAAATTTATTGAGCAGTGTCAACACTTTTGGAGTACTGCATACAATTCTAGTTGCCATGCTTTTGAAAGGATGTTATTAAATTGGAAAGGGTGCAAAAAAGGATTTACAGGGATGTCACTGAGAACGGAAGGTTTGAGTTATAAGGTGAGGCTGGATAGGCTGGAACCTTTTTCCCTGGAGGAGGCTGAAGGGTGACCTTATAGAGGTTTATAAAATCATGAGGGGCAAAGATAAGGTGAATAGCCAAGATCTTTTCCCCAGGGTAGGGGAGTCCAAAACTAGAGGGCATAGGTTTAAGGTGAGAGAGGAATGATTTAAAAGGGATCTGAAGGGTAATTTTTTTCACAAAGAGGGTGGTACATTAATGGAATGAACTGCCAGAGGAAGTGGTAGAGGCGAATACAATTACACCATTTAAAAGACATTTGAACAGGTATGTGAAAGGAAACGTTTAGAGGGATTGACACCAAATGCAGGAAAATGGGACTGGTTCAGTTTAGGAAACCTGGTCAGCATGAATGAGTTGGGCTGAAGGACATGTTTGGTGCTATATGACTCCAGGTCTGTACAACACCTTACACATTTTACACAATTTTAGAAAATTCTCATTTTCTCTCAATAAAACTGATCCCTGAATCTGTTATGTTCTCCTCTGTGGTTACATTGGTGATTAGACTCAGCTTGTACAGCTCCTAAATGGAAGATACAAAGGCTTCTTCCAAGCTGAGCTGACAACTGCACATTTTAATGGAATGTTAAGGGCTTCCTGCTTAAAGAGTTATCCTTCCAAACTTTCCATGGATATCTGAGTGCAGCATGGCAAAACTCCTCAAGAATGTTGTAGTTCTGGGTTCAACCTCTTTACACCTGAGGATTTAATATAACATGGGAAGAAATAAAATCCTTTAAAACAATGTAAGTATTTTTTTCTTTCATGTTAGTGTTGCTGCTGTCATTCCAGTACTGGTCCCTAAACCCAGCTTTCCTGCTGCATGAACCCCATTCACCTCAAACCAGTTTCCCTCTTTTCCAAAACACTTCCCTCCCTCACCATTAATTCTACCACATCATGCAGTCATGGCTCTCTATGTCGATTTCAGTCAAACAGCTACTAACTGACCATCTCCAGTACTTTTATAACTAGTAAAGTGACCCATTGTCCTTTCATTTTGTTGTGCGTAGACTGTTTATGGCAGTGCATTGTCTGCTGTAGATTCTGCTGTGACATTCCGCTGGAACACTGTGGCTGTGCACAGCTGAGTAGGAAATATGTGTGTGTTGGTAATGTGTCAATCATAATTGTTTCCTAATGTTAATATATTTCACTCTTCCTTCTCTCTGAATACAGCAACTCATCATTTAATCCCAAGAGCTTCTTTCCTCATTTCAGCTTCTGACTTGGCACTTCTTCTTCATTTGATTTATAGTTGTGAGAGCATCATTAATAAAAATAGAGCCAAAAATATTACAATCTGAACTAGAATTAATGGAAGGAGGAACTCTGGAAAATGACAATCATTAGAGAAGTGGTACTCAGTGCCCTGATAGACTTCATTCTAGGACCTTAAAAGAAAGTGGTTAGTGATATAATTGACTCATTCATTTAATTTTCAAAAACTCCCTTGATTCAGGGATGGTCCCATTAGATTGGAGGATAGGAAATGTGACTCTTTTATTGAAAAAGGAGGGAGACAGAAAGCAGGGATGTACAGGCCAATTCTACCAGTGACATTACCTCTATGCCAGCGTCTCGTGCTACGTGCAGGACTTAAGAACGGAATGACTTACAATTGTTAGTGTTGATATATGAAACTTGAACCGGGGAGTCATCCTGGATGCCTGCATGGGAATGTTTCCAGGATTCATGTTCTGCTTTGAGCACCAGCCTGATCGTTTCATGGTTTTCCTGTAGCCTCAAGAGAATTTGAGAGTGAGGCTTGAAAGTAGAATTAGTCTGAGGATGGGGATTACAATAACCAAAGCAGCATAATGTTAGATAATGCCCAGGAAAGTGTCAAATATGTACACTGGGATATGGCAAGTGGAGGTGGAGAACTCAAGTCTCAAACTTTTTTTGGCAAAAGGCATGCAGAGTAACATTGTGCAGGAAATTGTAGCTTTATAGCATTAGTTTACAGGAGGAAATTCCCTGAAGCTGTAATCACAAGTTGAAAATCAGTATACTGTCTTAAAATTTTGCAGTTAATTTGAACAGGTCTAAATTTCCATGGCCTCTATAATGTCAGTAGAAATATAATAAGTAACATCACTGTACTTACATCACTTTCATGACCCTCTCTGAGGTTATAAGTGAGATTATGATGAATGTCCTCCTTGAATTTATGAGAATATTCTGGATAGAGCTCCAGCACCTCATAGAGACCTTTCAGATTGATACATTGCAGGTCGCAGTAGGTTAGAGCTTTAACATCTGAGTTGGTTTTGATAACTTGGTCTTTATTTGCAAGATTTGCACCAATTAGGTCACCTTTACCTGAAAGACAATAAGCAATACAGATCTGCAAAAGATTTTACAGAAGCTGGAGAACTAAGTTCAAACATATTGCATCAGTATGAAACATTGGGTCTTATGGAAATTACTGCAATGCAAAGACAAACCAAGAAATAAGACTGCATTTGCTGCCTGTAGCTGTACCTGGAATTCATCTTTGATCTAGTTCCCAACCTTTAAGAGTTATATGGATCACCAAGGCTTCCTATTGAGTGTTATGATGATAGCCCAGAGTTTAAAAGAAAAGTTGTGGGTGTTTGAAATTTCAGACAGGTGATCTTTGAGTTTTTTTGTGTGATCTTGGAGGGATCTCTCGAGGTGAGGCTGGTTGAGCATTTTTTTAAATATTAAAAGGTATTAGCTTTCTTTTTGTTTGGAATGCTGAATCATTGTGCTTTTTCTAAACTAAAATCAGAGATTGAAAAAGCTTTTGGGCAGTTCATAGAAGACCTGGATGGGATCAAATCTCTTGGAGAAAGGAATCAATTCAGAACAGTTAGGAAATATGTTAACTTGTGTGATGGTATTAGTTTGAGAATTCCAGAAGTGTTTAGTTAAAACCCTGAAGAGATTATTTGAAGCTATGAAGGTTTAAGATCAGTTGTATGAAAGATCAAGGAAGAGATCATCAAGCTCTCAGGACTGGGAATTGGAAGAAACAGTTAAGTAAAACATATAGTTATGATCAAGAAGGGAACTCTGTCTGGTGTTTGAGTGATGGTGTTAGAATAGATTAGATTGTATTTGCCATGTGTTTTGAAATCTTTCAAATTGCATTATCTGTAAATACCTTGGCTTGTTCTATTTTATATTCATTTCTTTTGTGTAATAAACTTGTTTTATTGTTAAAACCAAATCTGCAGCATTGCACTTATGTTTCAGTGATAAAATAAACGAAAATATCCATCAACCTAGAGTTCAGACTGAAATCTGGCTTGTCCAGTAGTAATTGGATGTGAGAGATTGTGCTCTACTTCAATACTTAGTTCCCACCTTACTGATCTATTGTAGCCTCTGGTGAACATCCAAATAAGTTTACAGTGGAGAAAAGGCAGTCAGTGTTAGCATAGGAAGCACTGTAGTAGAAAGAATTAGGTTCAGAAAATGATAAATGGCCATGCAATAAATATGCTGGCAACAACCTGTGGAAATTGAAACTCCTTTTGCTGTGGCAGGGACTTGTAGCTTCATGCTAATGAAAAATAACATGGAAGGATTCAGAGCCGCTTCTTTGGTGATTTTATTGTAAAGGAGGATCAGGAAGAAAAGCTTGAACTGGGGAGTCATCTTGGATGCCTGCCTGCATGATGAGAATGTTTCCAGGATGAATGTTCTGATTTGAGCAGCAGCCTGATTGCTTCATGGTTTTCCTGCAGCCTCAGCTTCCACTTTTCTGAAATTTTATACCTCCTCATCCCATTTCTTTGTTAACCAACCAAACAGGTGCCCTATCAATGGAGAGGTAATAAAGAGAACACAATGCATAACTATCATTTTCATACTTCCCCAGAGATACCTTTAGAACAATCCAGGGATCAGAACCTGTGCTTCACAACTCCAATGGTTTCCTCCTTAATCAAACTATTGGAAAGAAGGCATTCATTACATCACTGCACTGCATCAAGAGATGGAGCCTGCAATGGCACTGCAAAACTGTAACAACAGAACGTAAAAATAGTTCCTTTAACCTAACCTTCAATTCTTGACCTTCTTTGCACAAGGTGGAATAATGAGCCGTCTGGAGATGAAGGAATTGTATGAGCTACCTGCTACTTGCACTTACTTCCTGATGTTTTTACTGTTGACTACACCTAAGCTGCACACTAATGGATTAGTGCACTTTTAATTCAAATAACTGGATTTATTTTTAAAGAGGTGCCAGGCATCAATAATATTCTGTACCTTGAATAAGCTAGTGAGTGAATTGAAGCTAAGTGCACGTCCCTGTTGCAGTCCGATTTTCTTGAAAAACACAATATATTAATTTTCCATGGCAAAGGAATCCTGATCTGTTTGCTGTAAGAAGCACTGCCAGGTGACTTATACAATATATAACTCGGTGGCTCCATGTGACTCTTTAATATCAAAGAAATTGAATGTTGCAAAAATCTTCACTGTCACAGGCAATGCCGGAGAGGCTTAAGTCATGTTCTCAGGTTTTCTTTCTGCAGGTAGCACAAAATTCTACAGCAGAAAGTCTTTGCTAAATCTGAACCTGCAGTTGCTTTATATAAGAAATTAAGGACCAAGGGCAGGAGAAGGCAATTCAGCCCCTTGAGCCTGCTCTGCCAATGAATATGATCATGGCTGATCTCATCTTGGCCTCAACTCCACTTTCCTACCTGGTCTCCATAACGCTTCAACCCATTACTACTTAAAAACCAGTTTATCCCCTTAAATTTACTAAATGTCCCAGGATTCTTCGTATTCTCAGGCAGTGAATTCCACAGATTCACGATCCTTTTGAGAGAAGTAATTTCTCCTCCTCTCTGTTTTAAATCTGATAGCCCTTATCCTAAAAGTATGGCCTGTCATTTTAGATTGCCCTACATGAGGAAACATCCTTTCTACATCTACTTTTTCAATCCCCTTCAGCATCCTACAAACCTGAATTAGACCTCCTCTCATTCTCTACACACCAGACAGTAGGGGACAAAACCACTCAATCTCTCTTCATAATGCAAACATCTTGTCTCTGAATCAATCTAGAGAACCTCCTCTGAAGTGCCTCCAATGCAACTACATCCCTCCTCAAGCAAGGGGACCAAAATTATATGCAATACTCTCAGTGCAGTCTTACTAGGGCCAGAAATGTTCATCAGGATTTGGAACACTTCTCATTCCTCGCTTTGTTGCAGACTTACATTGTTTGCAATCACAGTCGTCTTCTGTTCCTTTTCCTGATTCAGGTATCACAACTATAAAGAGATCCTGAAGAGATGCCCCAACAGGCAGCTTTGACACTTCTCCTTACTGAGACCAAAACTAGAATAGCAAAGTCATTGAATCTTTCATGTAATTCCATCTTCCATACCTCAGAATTCTTACTGACTCAGAAGTCCCTGTTTTCAGCTGAATGACACTTTTTGCAGGAACATGTAATCCATGTTCTTTGACAGATGCAATGAGTATGGACACACACACACACGCTCACACACTCACACTCACACACACACACGCAGATGAGGGTAGGAATTTCGTGCAGTGCAATGGGAGCAGTGATCTGTTGTTTTCCACCCATCCTGCAGACAATGTCCACACCACTGGGAAGAATGGTGGTGATGAAGATGGAGAAAGGGGTGGGGCAGTAACACATCCCTGCTTGACCCTGTCTTAACCTCAAGGGATTCTGTCATATTACTATCAGAGAGGATCGTCACTGACATCTTATTGTGAAAGAGACAGAGGATGTTGATGAATTCACTGGAGAGCCAGCCTTTGATAGGGTATTCCATAGCGCTTCCTGATTGACTGAGTTAAAAGCATTTGTTAGATTGATGAAGGCCATATAGAGTGGTTGCTGTTGTATGTGACATTTCTCTGGACCAAATTATTCTATACACAGACCACTCAATATATTATAATTGGAACTTTTCGACTGATGTTAGTCCAAATGAATAATGGTTATCAGACTTTCAACCGTATATTAGCAACTGGCTGATTTTAAACATGCATGTTTTAAATGATTAAGACCGAGTTTCTAATTAATAGAAGACTCTACTCAGTGAGACATAAATATTATAGGTATAACCGAGTGCTCTAGTTGGCAGCGGTGTACAATGCTCCGGCCGCAGCTCCTCTGCTCTGCCTGTTCTTTTACTTTGTTCTTTCTTTCTGTATCTCTTTTCTGCAGTTTTATTTCTTCCAAACTTTTAACTTCTTAAAATTACCCAGAGGGAATGGAGGAGGCGACTCCCAGATGGGAAGCCATCACTGGCGAATCTGAGACCAGTCCAGTGCAGGAGGCAAGTCCTGGAGGCAAGTCTCAGACCAGAGGGCATTGCGGGGAGGTGTGTCCCAGACTGAAAGTCGCAGTGGGGGTGGTGAGTCCCAGGAGGCGAGTCCCAGACTGAAGGGCATTGCGAGGAGGTGTGTCCCAGGCCGGAGGGCATTGCGGGGAGGTGAGTCCCAGACCGGAGGGCATTGTGGGGTGGTGAGTCCCAGACCGGAGGGCATTGTGGGGAGGCGAGTCCCAGACCAGGGGGCATTGTGGGGAGGTGAGTCCCAGACCGGACGGCATTGTGGGGGAGGTGAGTCCCAGACCGGAGGCCAGTGCGGGGGAGGTGAGTCCCAGACCGGAGGGCATTGCAGGGGAGGCGAGTCCCGGACTGAAAGCTGCCGTAGGGGAGTTGTGTCCCAGGCCGGAGGCTGGCATAGGGCAACTAAGGCCTTTGCGGAATGGAAGCAATGTCTCAAGTTTTGAAACCTGATGTGGTCTGGAGACTAGATGCTGGCACAGACTTGGTGAAAAGGACTATAATTTGAGTACTTTTTAAAAACCTTTTCTTCTGATGTTAGTCTTGTCAAGTAACTAAAGTACTTATTAAAAACTTTCTATTCCTGTTATTCTATTCCTATTATTCTTTCAATGCTGTAACAAATACTTAAGTATCTATACCTCGGTATCCTGTACCTGAGATGGCACGATAAGCAGCAACATTGCAAAATTTTCTCTGCGCTCATTCGAGGGCACGTGATAATAAAGCTAATTCAATTCAATTATTTGGAACATTAATGCTATGATAGGGTTTTTGAACCTATTAGAATTGGGGCAGCCATTTCAGACTGAGATGAAGAAGAATGTCTTCACTGAATGCATGGTGAATCTTTGTTATTTGCGGAGATTGAGTCATTTAGTATTTTTGTGACAGAGATTGATAGATTTCTGCATATTAGGAATGTCATAGAATATTAAAATAGTGCAGGAAAAGCCAAGTGCAGCCAAGTGATGAGTGGCCTCCTCGCACACATTAACATTCCTA